GGCAACTAAGTGCTCTCTGGACAGCTGAAGGAGGAAGCTCAGAAGATGCTGACACTGGGTCCGGCCTGCCCGGGCTGGGGGCGGAATTTGCACACGGCTCTCTGACCAGGTTTTTAATGAGGCGCTGAGCCGAGCCCGTTCTTCCTTCATCTTGACTGCGGGCGGCTGTGCGGATGCCACGGGGCTGGCGCGACCTCCTCCCGCCGGGCACCGCAGCGCTCGCAGAAGTGGGTCGCCCCGCTCGGGCTCAGCTGTCCGCGGCAGCCCCACTGGAGTCGCCGCCTTCACGTCCACCGAGGAAAGGAGGCCAGCGCGCCGCCCGCGGGTCCCACCCGCGCCCTCGTAGGCCGAGCAGCCCGCTGGGCAGGTGGAGGGGCACCGAGCTCTGTGCGCCACAGCAGGGACGGCCGCAGCCCCGGGTGCAGGGGCTCCGCAGCACGCAGGCCCGCGGCTCGGCTGCGGCCCGGTCCCTGCGGGCGCTGCGGCGATGCACGGGCGCCCCCTGCCGGACGCGGGCGGCTCTGCGCGAGGCTGTGCATGGCTTTCGCAAAGCCGCCCAAGGAAAATCTCGGCGGCGTCTAAGGCGGTGGTCAGACAAGTCGCCCGCATTTAGTATCAAAATCGGATAGAGCACACGGAGCGGGGTTCTCTCTCCAAAGTCACCTCGCCTGCAGTAAACTCGCGGCACTGGACCAGAGACAGCCGTGACCGTCTCTCTCACCTCCTCCCGGGGCCCCACGGTGCCTCAGTTTACCCCACCGCAGAAGCTTGGCCTGCTCCTCTCCTCTCCGGCGTGACCCCACAGACTGCGCGGAGGCCAGAGGGATGTCTCCTGAGCCCGGGTTCCCCTCTGTGGCGCCCTCAGCATCCCTTGGTGGACGACAGCGCTGGCTCCGACCCCATCTCCTCCTCCAGCCCGGCCTGGGCGCTCCGTGCGGACTCGGCTGGGCTACCCCAGAGCGCGGCCGGGGAGAAGGGCACGCGAGAGGGCACGCGAGAGAGGCCTGCACACCGCGCTGCTTCCCCTCCCAGGAAGGCGCGGCCTGGACCCGCAGGGGACGCGGACGCAACGGAATGGCCCTGCGCGGTCCCCAGCCCACAGCTGTGGCCGGCGAGGAGATCAGAAAAGTCACACTGGAGCCTTCCACCGAGGCCTGACCGCACTCAACACTGTCAAGGTCGTCAGGACAGGGCAGAGGAGCGGTCTCCGGCAGAGAACTCTCAGGAGAAGGAGGGAACGCCAGGCCCTGGGGCACCGCTCATGCCGTGAGCACTGGGTGCTGGACAAGGCAGGCTCTGAGCGCGGCCTGGCTAACCGTGCAGTGGTGCAAACGGCCCTGGGCACGAGCACACTCTCCTCTCCGTGTGTCGCCCCCGGTCACCACTCGGCGCCCTGTTCCCCAACAGACCCTCTCTCCTTGGCCCGCATTCTGCCATCCTCACATGGAAAAGGAGGAGCAGGAACAGTGCAGAATGTCCTGCTGCTGGCTCAGGGGAACTTCCTAAAGAGTTTTATCCACCACACAAGTCAAAGAGAACCAAAGGGGTCCACAGCAATTCCATAACCCTAAGGATGCTTCTCAATTTTCCAGAACAGTAAAATAAAAGAAAAATGAAGAGATCTCTAGTGGCTTTGTTTTTTTTAGAAGGATCTGAGGGTCAGAAGGAGGCCCGTGGTTCCTCTGCCTGCCCTGTCACCAGGGGCAGCTCAGTGAGGACGCTGCACACTGAGGAAGCCCTGCAAAGCCAGATGCAGCCAAACTAGAAAAATACGCAGCAAGAGCACGGGTCTTAGTCTGCATGGCACTTCTTTAGTTTACAAAGCACATCCACACATATGACCATTACACATTACTTCACATTATTTCACAAATACCTTTTGAGGTGAGCAAAACAGATGTTAGTCATCTTTGACGCGAGAGAGCGGGTAGGAAGAGCATCTTATTTACCTGTGTGTTTATGCCCGTGTCTCCTCGAACCCAGGGTTCCACACATGCGAGACCAGCTCCAGCCAGGCCAGCAGAGACTTTCAGGGACCCCTAGGGGAGCCCCTGGGCCTTCGCTGTTTTAATGAAAGGTACAAATGGAGAAGGAGAAGCACCGATGTACACTTGAACTAAAGAAAACTTAGTGCTGATAATTAAATGAAAAATACACATGTATCTACCCAAAAGCCATGCCCATGCACTTTCAAGTATTTAACTTTCTGTTAACATTATTATGTAAAGGAAAGTTATTATACAAGAAATACTAAAGATAGATAGAAGGAGATAGAAATCTAAAAGCACAGAATTTTTTTGGTTTGACCTTAAGTTAGTTATTCTTAGACCAAACATGAAGGAAATTGAGTAGGTAATATATAGGTCTTGAAAAGATCTACGAATCTGGACCATTATGTACTATTCTGAAACAACTGAATAGAAAGGGAAGGACAAGAGAATGTTATAGAAATCAGTAGCTGGAACTTGTAAGGGAGTGATCTAAATTTGTATAAAAACATGACTCAAGGAGACATAATCATGGCCTATAAATGTCCTCCCAACAGCAATACGTGGTAAATAAAGCAAGTGGATTATTCACAGCCTTATGTCCTGGTCACTTCTCTTTGTCCACCTGTCTAAGGGAGACAACGCTTCACACCTGTGCTGTGTCGTCCTCAGTGATTACTCAGGCCCAGAAGGACCCCCGAGGCCAGACCCGGCCAGAGACACTGGGGAGTGGCTTAAAGAGGGGGCGCTGAGGGAGGGCCTCCCAGGCCTTCCGGGGTACTCGGGGTTACCCTGGACAGTCATACCCCTCAGGAGCTCTTCATTTCCCCCTCACCTCTGATAAGGAATAACACAGAAGAGAATTGAATCCAGAAAAAGGTTTCAGTCGCTGGCCCACCTTATTGGAACAAAAAATGGAATGTGAATACTCAGTGTGAGGCTAGGTGTGCTGCCTTGACTTGGAGAGAAAGCCCGGCCCTGCAGTCGGGGAATGCACTTGCGGGTATGGGGCCAATGCCAATGGCATGGGGCCAGGCCCCTGCTGGACGTGAAACCTGACACCCACTCTGGGAAGGAGCAGAGCTTTGATGGCGCTCACGGCTTCAGGAGATTCCAGTGCACTGCTGGCTCCAAGGAAGACATCTCCTGGTGAAGGGCCTGGCAGGTGAGCTGCTTAGCTCATGGCGAGCAGACAGGGGTCAGAGAGGAAGGGCAGGGCCTGCTTGTAGGGCCCAAGGCTCTAAGGCCGCGCTCACCAGGACACACCAGGAGTGCACCTTGCTAATCTGCCGGGAGGCTCAGCCCAGTGGCGTTAACACGAGGACTAGCGCTCACATGTGAGACCTGTCATGCACTCCTGTTCAGCTGTAGCTCTCCCATCACTGTAAAGTGATCCTGTCTTATTTGTAAATCACAAGTTTTTGATACCAAAGTGTTTTTAAATCCACAGAGAGCCATGCAAGTGCAAATTATTGCAATTATTATGTCTCAGGTGTTTGGCTTCAAAATCATCCTGTTTAAATAAACATTTTCTCCACAAGACAGTTGCCCTCCCTCTTGAAAATTCCTGGGTTTTTCTAACTAAACCTCACAATGTCCCTAAGCCAAAGGATGTTTCAAAGATTCACCTGGTCCCCATGCTTGGAGCAGCAAAAGCATCTCTGGGCAGGCCCCACTGGTTGGCGCTGAAAATATCTGCAATTCTCTGAGTGGAGCCTGCTCAGTCACCCACAAATCACCCAAAATCCAAGCAGATTCTTTCCCACTGCCTTCCCAAGCATACTTTTTGTGGCCTGGCAGAGGAGCTGCCCACATTTGGTTGTACCAGGCATTAAGTCCTTAGATGGACTTAATGCTCTTGTGAACATAACGAAGGCCATGTGTTGTGCCCAGTTGGCATCTTAGGATATTTCTGTAAATAAGATGCTCATGCCGCTGTGTATGGCAGTGCAGGGACCGGGAGCCAGAGATGATGCACACGTGAAAAGGTGCTTGCCAGGACCATGGTCTGACAGCCACAGGAGCTGTCCCTAGATAGGGGCAGTGAGTGACGCAGAGCAGCGTCTAGCAGACAGGTGGGTGCTTTCTAAGCAGCCCTCTGGGGCCTGTCTGAGGCTCCTGGCTGTGGCCCTTGGTGCTCGGTGGGGATCTTTTCCCAGAAGATGCACCAGAGCAGCCCGGAGAGCTGGGCTCTGCCAGTGTCACCTCCAGGAAACGACAAGCTCTTGTTTACCACAACGTAACCCCGGCAGACTTTAGACAAACACCTATGCAGAGAAGGCAGGGGTCCTGCCATGTTCCTAGTCACACTCACACAAGCATGTGCACACACACATAAAATGTGAAGGTGTGCAGGATTCCCTCTTTTACAACAGCAAAGTTTAGGAGAAACTCGACTCCACGTGCAGGCCCCATGTGGGCTGAAGAACTATAAAGAGAAATGATCAGAGCTTCACCTCCACCCAACGCTTCCCTGTGAATTGGTGGAATTTGCCAGGCCTGAAATATTAACATAAAATTATGGAAATTGGAAATAGAAAGCTGCAGTCCACCGGGAATGATAGGCTCAAGATGAACTCAACTGCAAAATTTGGCTAACTAAAAGTGATGTCTTTTGTGCTAGAATTTTTCTATCTGAAAGCTTTAGGAAGGCTATAATTACTTTGAGTTTTCAATTCAGCCTTTTTCAAATTAAGCCTTTTATTTCCTTTTTTGCTTGGTACCTTTCCTCCCAGTGAACTCAGCATTTGCCAGGCACCAAAGTGGAAAATTCATATTGGTTTCCTCTACGTATCCATTTCCAGAGAGTGCAACACAATTTTTGCATCCTCTGTGCCAAGAAAAGCAAAGAAACATGTGACGTCAGAACCATGTCTTGGGCACATTCCTGAGTATGGTCCAAACAAGGCGTCGGTAAGAAAGGGCTAGCGAAGGCCAAAGTAAAACGTCTGTGCAGATTAGATTGGTTCTCTTCTCCACTGAGAAGCCAGGGAAACAGGAAGTCAGGCTCACCTTGTGGCGTTTGGGTCCCAGATCACAATGTCGGCATCAGCGCCTACAGCTATTCTTCCTTTCCTCGGATAGAGATTAAAGATTTTGGCTGCATTTGTGCTGGTAACTGCCACAAATCGGTTTTCATCCATTTTACCACTATGCTGTCGAAAAGATCCAAGAAGAAAGTGCGTTTGTTGTGATGGTCACTAAAACATCCTGTTAATAACAGCTCAAGACTTCCCTGTCTCACACCAAACAGAAGTGCACCTGATTTCTTATATCGGGATCCACCGACTATTCGGATGCTGGGAAGCATTAAGCAGCACGATGGCTGCTCAATTGTGATCTGGATTATTTATTGTGGACCTAAGATTTAAAACACGATCATGTTGAGTTAGGTGACGTATTTTTAGAGTTCAAATGAGACTATGGCACTTTTAAATCAGGTATGATGCATTTCACAAGATGAAAAATCAAGAGACTCGGCCAGTCATCGTGGCAGAGACTTCAAAGTAGAAAGTGTGCTGAGGGCTCCTCCTTATGTAGATTCACACGGTAAGTGTGGCCTTGTGGTCTGTTTAATCATCCAGGCCTAGAAAATGAGTAAGAACCAATCCCTGAGAGCAACGGTCCCAGAAATAACCATCTTAATGCTCAGAAAATAACACAGTTCCATGTTAAGAAATATTTAATCACTTTAAGGACATTTATGCATCCGGAGTTGTAGTGATTATGCAAATCTGATGTAATGAAGATACTTACTGTAATAACACAGAATCAAAGGGAAAGGGAGGGCTGTTACCAGGGAAATCTAGGCAGATGGAAGGGAAAAGTCCATCAACAGGGAGAGTCAGAGTTAGGCTGTGACAGGAGAGGAGGAGGAGGAGGATTAGCAGAGGTCCTTGTAGTGCAATAATTGTTCAAATATCAACCTTTTAGTAATGCAGAAAATGAAAGGGTTTTTGAGTGGAAAGTAGCACAAATGGAACTTCATTTTTGAGCGGTAACTCTGGTGCTGGCATAGAGAATAGGTGGTCGCAAGTAAGAAGGGACACAGGGACACTGGATGGGAGGCTGCTCAACAGTCCTGACAAAATCCGAGCCCCCAGCAAGATGGCAGCTGTGCATGTGGAAGGAAGGGCGCAGTCTAGAAACACATCTGACGAGACCTGGTGAACAGCTGGACTCAGAGGAAGGCAGTCTATGCAGGAGAAAACAGCCAAAGGACCTGGGGTTAAGGGGTCCTGGGAGGGGGCTGCTGGGGATGGTGTGAGAGGCAGGGGCAAGAGCCCTGGTCTAACAACGTCCCCTGCTGACATCTGCGAGCACGTGTCAGCTGCTGGGTAGGTCAGTGCGCGGCCACCAAGCCATCAGATTCTTGTCCAGCCCAGGGAGCAATGTTTTGTCACAAAACTTTCTCAAATATTTTTTTCCTGGACTTTGAGTTCTTATTCATGTGACTTATTGTTCTTCTTCATACAACAGTTTTCTAAAAGGACATCTACAAAGGATGTCATGCAAAGGAGGCATGAACAGAATAAGCATCCTATCATAAGAATTCAGACTAGTGACACAGGAGGCCTTGGGATCCGAGAACACGAGAAATGAAGCAGAAAGGTCATTATGTGCCAAAAGTGACCCTTTTTGTGCCCAGACTAAATCTATCCCCTATGCCTCCTCTGGACCGAGTCTGCAGAGAAGACAACCATCTGTTCACTGGTACCATCCGGGAGTGGGGTGAGATGGGGTACGAGTCAGGGAGCATCCCCGGGAAGGTTCACGGCGCAGGGAGGGCCCTGGCTGGGGGCTGGGCAAACACGGGCGGCTCTGAGGACCCACCACGCCCTTCTCCCATATGACTGACATCCGGTCTTCCACACCGTTCACCCCATTGGGAATCTTGGTAAAGTCGTCCTTCCCAAGCGCTTTCTGGCAAGTGTTGAAGGTGCAGTGGTCAGTAGCTGTCGTGCTCAGATCATCACTGGAAAGAAGAGAAGCAAACCATGAGAGCTGAGAGCACCAGCGTGGAAAGCTCCATAACAGCCCTTATCCCTAGACTCCTCTCCACCAAAAGTCAGAGAAGCTCCACGGAGGAGGGAGCGTTTCCAAGTGCACACCTCCTCCCACACTCGCACTGCCGGGGGCACACCAGTGAGGAGCATACTAGTGGGCCAAGACCCGGGTTGCAGGCTCCACCTCTTGGTTTCCCGGCTCTGTGGTTATGAACTTGTTTCACTCGGGCCTTGGCAGTTAAATGTGCCTGGGGACAGTGACATCAGGGGCTCTAGGAGGGATGGGAGGGTCGAGTCCTTGGAGGAGTCCTGGGAGGCCCCCGGCGGTAATTCTCAAGAGCAAGGGTCCCCCTCCCAGAGAGTGCGCTGTCCACGCACCCATCTGGCTCTGCATTAGATCAGCACAGGAAAAAGCACAAGAATATTCTGATAAAAATAAGGCACTGGGGCTGGGAGTATAGCTGGGCTGCAGAGTGCTTTTTCTGCGTGTTTGAGGCTGGCTTCAGTGGACTGTAAAGAAACAAAACAGATCCAGCAAACAAACAGGTCTAACGAAGAATCTGGGCTCTGGGAGACCAGAGGTGGGAAAAGGAGCAAAGAACAGAATTTCAGTGCCATGCCTGGGCGGGAGGCTCGGACACACATCGCGGCATAATTAAGGTTGTGCGGTTCTCTCTCCAGAGACAAGGGTCCCCGGAATTCTCAGGCCGAGGGACAGAAGAATGAGGGGCTCACGAGGGCCGGGCTGTCCTCCTGGCAAACCCTGCATGATTACTTAGCCAACAGGTTCATGAGAAATCCTGGTGTTGAGGGGTCCGGCCGCAGGGGCGGGCTCATGACGTGGTGTGCCGCATGGCACCAGTCTTCGTGCCAGTAGTGAGTGCCGTCAGTGCCCAGGCTTGCCGCTATGGGCTCTCCATAGACCACCTTCCCTGCAAGGTCAGAAAGCAATCAGCACCCTCACTGTCTCTTAAGAGAACCATGTGACAAGCACACAAGTCTCCACCTTGTCCGTCTCAGCAGAGGAAAACAGCCATGGCTTATCAGAATCCCAAACCATGGTTACTTCATGCACAGGACTGAAGAGTATCGAGCAGTGATTGCTGCCCATCTGCTGTGCTTCGGCCATGCACACCACAGGGCCTGGCAGTGGACGATCCTACCCGCTCACCTGGTATCTGGCTTGGCCTCCGACTCATCTTGACCAGTTAGATCCAACGGAGAGAGATGCACTGCTTCCAAGCAGAAGCTGTGAAAGTGTTCTCAGGGTCCTGCCATGTCCCTGGTCCCCAGGGTGGAGAGATGGAAGAAGGGCAGCCCCACCCCAAGATGCACAAGAGTGGGAGGAGCAAGTCTCTCCCGGACCAGACCCGGGGTCACTGCAGTGCCCTAGTGAAAGCTGTGGATGATGAGATCGTGAAAGGCTACTGGACCGATGCTGTCTTTATCTCCACTAAGTCCACGGGGTTTCAGAAGCTCCCAGTTACTTCACATGCATTCCACATGCAGGAAGTGGAGGGGAGGCTTTGAGCCCATGCGTGTGGATTCTGGTGGTCCCGATGTTGCTGCTATGCTAGTCAGATGGCAGACAGCAGTTCCCAGGGGTCATACACATCCACTGCCGTACAGCTCTGCTTCGAGTACATTGATAACCCTTCCACACCCTCAAAAAAATACTCCTCAAAAACTTCTATTAAATAAAAGAACACTCAGATGATAAAATAGTAGCCCAAAATGCATATTTTAAAAATCATGCAAATAAGCCCATCACAAGCCCACGATGTTAGAAAACTTAATAATTCACAGTGAATTTGAATTTAAAATCAGAACCCTATGTCTGATTAGCATTTGACAGAATAATAGATTCCCCAGTGTCAACTGCATCCTATGCAAGCAATCAGAGAGAGTGCACAGGAAGGACGCTGGCATATCAAATCAGTTCACTCTGGTTAACCAGATGCCAGATTTTCATTATGATCCTGATACATGGCTGAATTAACTGATTTCCCAGGAGGGCACTGAGAGAGGGTTACCAGCTGCCCACGTCGGACAAAGGGAGCCAGCACCCTGCTGTCACACGGATCCTTCCTCCCCAACAAGCTCTCTTCTCTAGCTAGCCTGGGAAATCCAAAACCACGAAAGCCAGCTTAGCATGGAGATTCCTTAAAAACCGGAAACTAGAAATCCCATTTGACACAGTGATTTCCCCTTCTAGGCATCTTCCTGGAAGAGTTAAAGTCATCACATTAGAGATACATGCACACCTATGTTTACAGCAGCACAAGGCATAGTAGCCAAGTCTTGGCAGTGGACTGTATTTCTATCAACAGAAGAATGAATAAAGAAAGTGCAGTATTTATATGGAATGGAGTACTACTTTGCCACGAAGATAAACTTGAGTCATTTGTAGGAGAATGAATGCACCATGGGACCATAACGTTAAGTGAAATAAATCAGACACACAAGCTGAACTATCACATGGTTTCTATTGTATGAGAAACCTAAAGTATAAATAAAGAGCAAAATAAAAGATAGAAAATAGGAAGTAGGAAGATAGCTCTTTCTCAAATGGGAAGAGGATCTAGGAAGGAGGAAGAGGAAGGAGAGGAGAGGGGAGGGAGAGGATGAAATTCCCCTCTGATAGGAATTAAGATGTGTCATGTACATGTACCAACTTCATACAAGAGATGCAAACATTATGTGCTACACACATGTGCTAATAAGAAGTTTCTACAAAAGCCGACTTGCTGAAGAACTCCCCGAGTGACTTGAGAATCAAAGTTTGGTCGGTGAAAGTGATACCCCAGGAACTTAGCCACCTCTGGACCCTCAGCCTCCAGGATGCCAATGCCTGCCTGCACCCGTTCTTGCTGGCTTCTTCCCAGAAAGGCAAAATGCAGTCTTCCTGGTGTCTAGAATAAGCAGCTATCCTGTCTGGTGACCCAAGAGGTAGCAGGACTTTGGAGAGAGCAAATCAGATGCTTCCACTGAGCTCCAAGTACAAAGACCTGCTATTCCAAGACAACTTCTTACACACGCTGGGACGCTGAGAACCACTTCCTGAGCTGCCAGCCCAGGGTTATCTGGCAGGTGCTTTGTCGTTGAGGAAGGAGCCTCAGTGCACACGGTCCCATCACTTGGCATGCCACGGCGATGTGGGTTACAGCTCCAGTGCGTCCACCACTGTAATAGCACTCAGGAAAATGAAAAGTGTCAGGCTCTCCTGGGAGGCTGCCGGGCCAGTCTGAAACCTGATGACAGGTAATTTCCCTGAAGGGCTTAGCTCCTTCAGAGTGGGACAGGGCTGGGTATATTCAACTTTCTCCCCATGCGTGTCCATAAATTCATAAAAAAGCAAAAAGTAAAAATTTCTAGCTGCTCTTTGCCCATTTCACAGTGGTTCTAAGACATTTTCAAAAAGCTGCAAGAAGCAAATGGGGAAGGGAACTGGGGGCCTGGGTGGTCCATACATTGGAGAATCAAGGTGGGCAGCTCAGCATAATTGTGGGTTCTGATAGATTTGGGCTAAAAATGAGGAAAACAGCTCACACGTGTGCAGCCCTTCGTAGCTTACCCAGCCTCGTGCATGACCCCTTTGACCTTGACAGCACACGGCTGGCGTGGTAGATGAACCGACGCTCAACGAGATGGATCCTCCTGCCTGAGACTGTGCTGATGGTCCCTGGTGCAGCCGGAACCAAAACCCTTCTTTTAGGACAGCAGATCCCACGCACTGTGTTATTAAAACAGCAAGGGTCATCTTCGCTTCTGTTCTGGGTGCAGAGCACGTATTCCTAAATGTTTCAGTCAAATGCAAGCTATTTGTGGATGCGGCTGAGCAATTTTCCTACTGCACATGCTGGTTTCATTTACTACGCAATGAAGTGAGCTGTTGCTGTCCTCAGCCTGGGGCTCTTCTGATCGCATGTGAGCCTGAGGGCTCCAGCAGTGCGGGAGACAGGTCGCTTCCACGCACCTCCTCCCACTGCTCGGCGGCTTTCTCAGGAGCCTGTGCCCTGCCCTCCCACAGCTCTTCTCTCTTCTGTCTTTGTTCTTTGGCTCAAAACTGTAACAGAAAGCCTGTGCATGGGATGCAATCTCCCACTCGGAAGGCACCCTGCCCTCTGAGGGAATCTAAAGATTTCCACAGAACAAAGTCTGTCGGCCCAGCCCGAATGCTGCCCTCCTGACAGCTGGTGACGGTGACAGAGAGATGTGGGGATGGGTGGGGACCCGCGGGCAGCACTTTACCGAGTTCTTCTAGGGAAGGGAAAGAGGCAGAGAAGGTGTGGAAACACTGGCTGGGGAATGGGAAAATTCACTAGTAAAAATATGTTTTCTCAGCTAAAACCATAGCGTAAAACTTGTCTGGGCTCTGTGTAGAATCAAAATATTACATTTATAAAGGAGTAAGTTGACTAAGAAGAAAAATACATGGAGCCAGCACAGTCGAGTAGATTATAGAGATTTAGACTCACAGGATGCTGGTCACAGTCTGTTTTTCTCATCTATGAAATGGGATTACAGTGTCTTTAGTGTGGCAGTTTTGTGAGGGTCGAATCAATGAATGTCTCTGAAAGCACAGTACTTAGCATGTTCCTGGAGCCAGGAGTCACTTCAGAGTTGTAGGCTGGAGCTTTCGGCCCCTGCCCAATCCACAATGTATGGAATGATGTGTGGATGTCTGCCAAGCGGAAACAGTTACAGTGAGTGTCTGGTGGCCCTAAGTCCATAAGCCAGGGGTCCTCATTGGAATAGGACATTTGGATACAGACGCATGGAGGGAATAACTTGAGGACACAAGATGATGGGTATTCACAAGCCGAGGAGCATGGTGTGATCATAGTTTTCCCTTGAGGTGCTTTATTACAGCAGCCTCTGAACACTCACACGCCCCACGAACATCAGGTCTCTACTAGCCACACAAGTCCGTGTCTGAAATGTTCTACAGTGGCTGGTTTCAAACTGCTTTATATTGGAGATAAGGTAAATCTTCTCATTCCAAATGCAAACGACAACAGGATGTTCAGATGTTCAAGACCAAGAAAGGAACAGCAAAGGCCGAGACTCAAAGCCACCTTCACCCAGCCATATGCCGTCTGTCCACGGTGGGCAGAGCCCTGGCCACGCACGTGTTGGTGACCCTGGGTCTGCCCTTGCTCAGCACTGCAGAGCGATGGTCAGCATGGCCAGTGTGGACTCTTCCCCCACCTTTTAAACACAAGAGCAATCCATGGGGGACAGAATTTAAATACAACGGAAAATGGAAAATCCAAAAGTTCTGTGTAAGAAACCTTTATGTTTTATAAGAATAAGCCTGGAAAGTGAAACTTCCTACTATAGGAAACCAAAACCAAATCAAACCAAATCAAACAAGCGGCAGTCAAAGAAACAACCACCAACCACTCAGTGATAAGGTGCCCGCTCAACGGGAGGTCCTTGAGAACCAAACAAGCTTGGTCATCCTTGCAAACCCTATGCCTATGGTGCAGGCCCTCACACATGTTTGGTGTCCAATAACTTGCTTTTTATGGAAAATGTAAAAAAACCCAGAACATTTTATTAATATGTTAAAGTGAGAATCATACTTACACCCAAACCCAAGAGCTTGGATGTTAGATAAGGTAGAACTTTATCAAAACAACTTAGGCTGGAGGCGTGCTGTGGCTTAGGATCCGGATGTCCCCAAAGCCTCATGCACTCAGAGGTGGGCTTCTGGAAGGTGGTCAATCACGGGGTGCTGTGCTCTTCAGTGGCTCAGTCCATGGCGAGCTGGAGGGAAATGTGCTGTAGGAGGTGGAGCTCTTAGAAGTGGTCACATGTGTGGCCAGGCAGGGTGCATCTCCCTCTCGGCTCCTCCCTTCACTCTGCTTCCTATCCTCCATGAGGGGAGCAGCACTCCTCCGCCAGACCCTTCCACCACGCCTGGCTGCTCAGAGCCAGCTGACTAGGGACTGTAATCGTGAGCCAGAATCAACCTCCCCTTTGAGGTGCAGATGCAGGTTAAGGTGTCTCAGGGACTGGAAAGTGTCTGAGGTGGGAGTGAGTCACAGCTGGGAGTCGCACTGTGACAGACACAGCCCAGAGCATTGCACTGACCTGCCCAGAAACTCACGGCTACTGCAAGCAAACCACAGAAACACTGTGAATCCATGTGTTCCCCGAGTCCTACTGGGAGTGCAGGAAGAAAAGAACCACACATTCCCTAAAATACCATCAATAATCCCATATGCAACATTGTGGCTACAAAAGGACACAGAGAACCAAAGCTACTCGGACCAAAATGAAAAGTACCAAGAGGGCTGGGGATGGAGGGCACTCACCTCGCATGCTGAGGCCCTGGCTTCCGTCCCCAACACCGATAATAACAATAATAACAATAATAATGATCGTGAAGAGGAAAAGTGTCCCTGAAGCCAAGGACCCACACTGGTGCCTGTCCTCTGTGGACCAAGACCAGGCTTGGAGACCCTGGAGTGACAGACCTGAAGCTGGCTTGTCCTGCTCTGTGGTCCACATGCTTCTGATGTCCTGGCTCCGCGTGGCACAGTGGCCCCCAGGAGGGTGCATGCAGCCCCGGCTTTGGGCTGAGGAAGACGGAAGCGTGGGCGACACTGCTGGCCAGCGTCACGCACCTTGGCTCCCAGTGGCTCAGCTCAGCAGCTTGATCCCTTCCCTTTGGGGGTGCTGTGTGCTGGGAGGCAGCACAGGGATGGGCAAAGGGAAGCCTCAGTAGAGAGGGGACACACACCGTTCCCACGTCTTCCTGCCCGGCCACATCAGCCCCGGGAAGCAGGACGCGGGCTTCACAGTGGTACCCAGGCTGTAAGAGGCAGCAGGGCCACCAGGGGGCTGGACAGACTTCGGGAGGGTGGAAAGAAAGGAGATGATGACAAGCAGTGAGGGAGACTTAGCAGAGGGACTGTCGGAACCGGGGGTGCAGAGGGGTGCTGGGCGCAGGGCTCCTAGGAGGGAGGGACAGGAGGCAGAGGAGCAGGGAGAGCAGGCTGTCCTGATTCGGCCTCCGCCCCTTGAGAAACAGGGCTTCTGATGTCCATGGCACCTGGGAGGGCACACAGCTGGGCGCAGCCTACAGGGGCCTCACCCGAGCCTCCCAGAGCCTCCCAGGACCCCCCTGGACCCCTGAGGGCCACAGACACGGGGGGAAACACACAACACAGAAGCGGAGAGGGCCTAAAGTTTTAAACCTGAAAATCTCACTTAGAAAATAACAGATAATGCAGGAAACAGAAGAAGGGAAGAAAACATCATTAGTATTCCTGGAGAGATCAAGAAAATAATGCACACATTAAAAAAGAATAAGCAATCAGGGAAAACAGAGCAACCAGGGAACAGGACAGTAATAAAAATATGGTAATAAAAATATGATTGCAAATTCCTTAGGAGAGCAGGGAAAGCAAACAAAAACATTTCCTAAATGAAGAGCAAAATACTAAGGTGAACTAGTTAAAGGACGTGGAGGATTATGGAGGCATTCTTGGAAAAGAGGAAGAGAACCCGAATGCAAGGGAGATAACTGAAGGAAGAATTTCAGAATTCAAGCTCAGCCTTCAGATTAAGACTGGCTCTGAATTCGAAGAGGAGTTTTTGAAAGGCCAAATACTAAGTAAAGTTATTTGAAATGTCTAGACTTCTAGGATGAAGGAAAACAGGAGGGCGGTCCAGATGGTCGGACAGGTCGGGAATAAGGGCCAGCACCGTGCAGTGCTGGGACGGATGAGATCGCAGCCGCCAGCAGAGGCCCCGCTCTGAGCCGGGAATGCTACACCCATTCGAGCCTCCAAACACGCACGAGGGCAGGGAGCCGGAGATCGCAGCATCTGCACACTTCTCCCTAGAACCTACCGGAGGCTCTTCAGGCCGTGAGAACGCACGCGCCGGACGAAGGGCACCCAGCATGGCTCCACTTCGCAGGCTTGGAGGGCGGCGCTCACATCCCCTTTCCTCCTCCAGAAACCATCTCTGCAAGGACCGCCGATCGCGTTCAGCAGCGAGTGGGGTTTGTTTCTTTTCTCAACCCATTTCAAAAAGAGCTAGCTGGAAATATTTCAGGAAAACCAAGAATTTTTACAGGACAGGGGTGGTCTAACTATGCAGCGACCCAAATGAGCCAGGCCGTGAGCCTTCAGGTAGAGCCGCGTGACCGCAACCTCAGAGCTCGTTCTGCACAGTGGATCTGCACGACACCGATCTGCACCGCACTTAGCGACACAGGTTTCTCTCAAGCTGCCTTCGCGGGTGGGAAGCACATCGTCACCATTGTGCAGCACGGAGGGTCCGGCTTGAGAGCAGCCGGGCAGCAGCAGGGGAGCCAGTGAGTCACCTGAAGAGCGACCACTGTCACTGCAGGCCTCCGGGGGTGAAGGTGAGGGTGCGTGACTAACATACTCATTCCCACCGGAGTCGGGGACAGCTTCAAAACTCCCAAATGCCTACCACACACGTACCCTGTAAGATTTTGGAGGTGGACACCAAACACCAAAGGTATGTTTCAAATCGTAGCTCCAGAGTGAACTGAGAGTAAAAGAGGAATTTACGTTCCATAAACGACTTCATCATCTCCATTCCTGACAGGTGTTATTTTAATAACAATAAACACAGCAAGATGAACATATGCCCAATAAAATATTTAAAATAGAATGTCCACAACCAAAAACCAGTTAAATTTTTAAAAAGCTAAACTTGGGTTCCATATTTCCCCAACTCTAGACCAACTTCTCTCTGAAGAGGAGGAGGAATAATTGAAAAAGTTTGGCTTTCAAGTCTGGTGGGTTTGGGCTTGAATTCTACATTCAGCACCTACTGGTGAATCCGTCTGGGGTTTATTAACTCATCCCAAAGCCCTAATTGTATCAGTCTCAAAACAGGGATAAAGCTGAGCTTGAAGCATTACTATTGCAAGTTTTAAAAGATAATATATATTCAAATATATCGATGCGCTAATACAGACTAAAACCTGAACTGAGACAAAAGATATTAAAACAAAGCAGATGCCAGGCACATAGTAAGCACCCAACAAGCAATGTTAGTTGTTATAACCATGCTGGGTATCGAGCTGCCAACTGAATAATAAAATCGAATGTAGTAGCATTGTACTCCATGCTGCTTCAACAGGAAGCATCAATCCCTGGACACCCCCTGTGCTTCCTGGAGCAGGTTTCTGACTTTAACATGCACTGAGTCTGGGGTCTGGGATTTAGTGCCTCCGGGGTGGGGGCCAAGGCTGGGTGAGTCCAGTGAGCCCTGGACAAAGCCAGCACTGCCACCAGGCCGGCTGCAGGCTGCAGGGGGGGAGGCCCTGGAAAGCAGAGGGCCCGGCCCCGGGGTAAGGAGGGGAAACCTTCGGCTCAGACATGGGGAAGGCTGAAATCTGTTGGAAATAGGATCACAGTTAATAGAGCTCCACTGTTCTTTTGTGTTCAGAAATGATGCTGGAGAATAACCCGGTGCCCCAGGGTGGGGAATCTTCCCTAAGGGTCCCTGTGGGCCGACAGCTCCTGTCCCTCTGGGGCTGCGGAGGCCTCATCCACAGTGTTCCCAGTTTGTCCCTGTGTCTGTCTTTCCCTCTGGCTCTGGCTGACCACAGCCTGGCTGAAAGGGGTCCTGTAGGCAGGGCGGGGTCCCCCCTGATTTGTTCCGGAGCTCTGCTGCCTCTGGCTGAGCATTAAAGGTATTTTCACAAGTCCTATTCCCATAAGTCTGACTCAGCTAGAACAGATGTGAGCCGGGATCTGAGATGGAAAGATGATGCTGAGTGAATCAGGCAGCTCAGTGCAATCCCAGGATCTTTAATGGCGAAGGGTGAAGAAAAGAGGAGGTTGGAGCAGTGCAACCGAAAGGGCTCAGCTGGCACTGACGGCTTTGATGGTCACAAAGGGGGCACGACCAGGGGGCGGCGGTGTCTGGATGCTGGAAAGGAGAAGGAAAGGACTTCTCTCCTGAGGCTTCTGGAGGGAACCAGGGGACTGCAGCCCCGCAGACACCTGACCAGCCCTGTGCTACATTTCACATCTAAAATGCCCCCCAAAGGCCCTGTTGGAGGAGATGGACGAGGGTGCTGTACGCATCCCGGATTAGTCCACCCTTGAGTTCACGGCTGGTAGCAGGTGAGGCTGGGCCTGGGGTGGGACCCGGAAGGGCCTATCTCTCTCTGGGCTCCTCCCTCTGTCCTTCCTGGCCACCAGGTGGTGAAAATCTCCTCCACCAGCTCCCTCCATCCGCCTGTCTCTGCCTCGCAGCCAGCTGACTATGGACCAGACCCTGAGCTGAAATAAACCTCTCCTCCTTTATGTGGGTGTTGGGTATTGTGTCTCAGGGACAAGTAAGTGACCGAGACATCCAGTGTTTCTATTTCCAATATCTGATCTCTAGAATTGTGAGATCATAAAGCTGCACTCTTTTAAGCCATTAAGTTTGTGGCCATTTATTACAACAGCAATAGGAAACTAACACACCCTGCACAAATATGAGACGACATACATACAAGGCTATCACTATGGTTTCATTCGTATACACACAACTTGGGAAACCCAAGTGCACTACTGTGCCCTATAAAACAGAACAGGCTGAGGAAAACCTCTGTTCCTAATGTGGGCTGACTTTCAGGACATATTTTCAAGTAGGGGAGCAAAAAAGCAAGACACATACTATTGTTTCTAATGTGCTATTTTTTGTAAGAGGAAAAGTCAATATACATGTTTTTTTACTTTGTAATGAAACTGTAAATATAGGCCAGAAATAAGTTCATAAAAATAATTAGTTATGGAATATGAGAAGAAAAGAAGAAAGATTTCACTGGATATTTTTATATCTAAGTTTTACCTTTCGACTATGTAGATATTTTACATATTTGAGAAAGAAAATTGAATTTAAGACTATTTAAAATAAATTAAAATGCCCATACTTAAGTTTAATAGTTTTTTGTTTGTTTGTTTGTTTTTGGTACCGGGGATCGAACTCGGGTCCTTATGCTTGCTCAGCAGGTGGTGAAACCACTGAGCTAAATCCCTGGCCCAAGTTTAATAGTTTTCTATGATCTACACTCTAAAATCTTCCCCAGACCTTTACTCTGATTTTAATGCATTCTCTTCGTGCCAAATAAAAACCCAAGATCAAGAAACTGCTTCCGGACGGAAATGTCAAAACGGGAGCTTGCTGGTGGGTCAGGACTGTCCATTCTGCTGATTTTACTTAACCGCAATGTACAAAGGAAACGGCACAGAGTTGGCAACAGCGCCATCTGGTGGGAAAGTCTAAGATTGTAGCTTGAAAATTGCAGCATTTTCTTTTCCAAGGGGTGCTGTTTCATGCCGCAATTCTATTACATGCAGGGCGTGGGCAGGAAGCAATCAGAAAGAGCTGATACTAAGACCCCCTTAATGCTCGTGTGAAGTCAAGCTTAATCTTAACGTAGATATTGATGGATTACGTTTAAAAAGTACAGATGACTCAGAATCCTTACTGAACCTTCGTGCAATGAAAAGCAATTTTGACAAGATTTATTTTAGTACATACCAAATCCAGGTTCAGTTTTTATAATGCATATCATTAAAATGCAGCCAGTTTGGGGGAGAGTGGGTCCAGCCAGGATGACTTATAAGACTATGCCTGTCTGCATTTCTACAGGTGAGAAGACAGAACTGCCAGCTCATCCGCAGGAGGGCTGGGGTCATTGAATAAAATGCACAGAATTTGTTTTTCATCTTTCCTTGACGGTACTTGAAAATAAGTGAAATTATTTCTCTGCTCTACTCGTGTCAAGATCAGGAGATGTCTCTTCTGTCTTAGACTGAATGAGAGAGATTAGGCAACCTGGGGTAAAAATAACTATGGTTTTCACACCATAAAATAATTGTTGTAAAGACACTAGTTGGATCATTGCTTCAATTGCTCCAACACCAAAGCTGCATCGGACAAGCCAATTCAAAACAATCTTTTTCTGCACATGGCCTGATTCAGGGGTTGGCAAAGAAGCCCAGGAGGTATGGAAAACTCTTGGAAATTCCCGGAGCTTCGCACTGAGCCTGCAGGTTCAGAAGTGATTGCCTGGGAGCTGAGGCTGGATCCACTTTCTGAGCCTCTTTCTGAGGCAGAAAGAATCTGAATGCGGCCTCAGGACGAGAGAGAAATCGCCTGAAGGAAGAGAGGCGGCCTAGAGATGGAAGAGCTGAGCCCTCAGCTGGCCACTTTCCTGTGAGCAGGAGGGCAAACACTGTCGTGCTCAGCTTTGGCCACCCTGGGGCTCCTGGGCTCACCGTCTCTCCGGGCATCTGCGATGACCCTGGCTGCGGACTTGCTCATCACATGCACCACGTAGAGGGGACAGCTGACTGCGCTGGCCAGGGCGATGGCCCGGAAGGTGGCCTCCACCTCTGCGGCCTCGGGCCGGCACAGCTCATGGCCCTCGGGGCCCGTGATGCCCAGCGCCAGCATCTTCTTGGCCCCCTGGGAAGACAGGGGGAAGGGTTAGGGGCAGCACCAGGTCCGGAAATGAAAGGCGCCGGAGACCTGGGTCAGTGGGCACAGGCATGTGTGTGTGTGGATGCACGTGTGTGAGGGGCAATGTGCTGGGTATAACATCGATATTCCCAAAGCACGTATTAATTCTCTCTGTGCACATTTCATCACCAAATTGTGTTGGCTGAAAAGGTGAACAAGACAGGAAGTTATTTCTGATCAAATGCTTTGAAAAGCAAGGTCCATGTTTAAGACTGAATATTGGTTCAGACCAAGAAGGTGAGACTGAACACTGGAGGTCCTTGTCGGAGCAATCACAGTGATCTATTACCCGACTGCTTCCGCTCTCTGGAAGCACAGGTCCCCTGGTTCCCAGCCCAGCCCACTGAGTGAGTAGTTACCGAATCAGTTATTTGCCCTGTCCAGACTGTATCTCATCCTTACAAAAAAGGCAGAGTCCAGAAGAGCAGCGAATGGCTGTCACGCAGCCCGAAGTACGAAGTGCCATTTAAACCCGGGCCTGCTGGATTTTATAGCTCCTGCTCGCCTCTCACGACTCCCCCTGCCACCTGGCCTCGGAGCCTCTGTCTCACTTTAATAGTGGCTGAGCCTGGGAGAGAAAAAGTCAGCTCATACAGAGGCTTAGAGGCTGCTCTTAGATCCCGCAGATGGTGAACTCTTTGGGCATTGATAATGGAGCTGGCATAAGAAATAAATATCGTCCAGATTCCTCCAGAGCACATTTTATTACCCAGTTTCTGAAGAGAGCAGGGCTTTAAACAGCCATCTAATGTACTGCTCCAGCCTCAGATTACAGATGCTGTCCAACTTAGCATCAGAAGCAGCAGCCCCGGCTGCTAAAGAAACAAATCACAAAACTGGCCCGGCAGGACACAGAGAAAACTGCATGTTTTTACTGCGGCACCTGCTTGAGGTCTAGTCCAGGCGGCTGTTTTGAAATGGAGAAATCCTTGCTGATGTGTGAACAGCTGACTGAAACCGAGGTGGGGCCCAGTGGTGTATCTGGGAGCCGTAGCAAATCCATTTCTGGATTTCTGCTCTTCTGATGCGTTCCTCACCTTCTGGGGGCTGAGGGTCTCCAAAGCCCACTTTCACTTCTGCCAAGGCTGGAATGCATGTGCTTACCTCTGCGATTAAGTCTCCGTTTTCTGCGTGGACTTGAGCAATGGCTCCAATTTCCTTGCACTGCGAGAAGGCAGCGTATAGCTCTGGGTCTCGCACCATGAACAGGTCCTTGTAGGCCATAAACATCTTGAAGGAGTTCACACCTTTCTCCTGGGCAAGGATTGCCATTTCTTCTTTGACCTAAAAGGCAACAACCACACCATGTTGCTCTTTCGCTTCAACGATAATTTCAGCATTCTCCAGAAAGTCACATTCATAAAACAAATACATAAAATAAGGACCACAGTTTAGCTCCCAAAGATGCAGTGAAGTCTTTGGCCTTCCTCCATGTTATGCCCTATTTCATCTGATAAACTGCTGCTGCTGTCATAGTTTAATTTAGGAAAGAGTTAACAGCTTTCTTTCCTCAAAGTACTTCTATGATTGGATATAAATTTTCGGCTCTGCCTCCCAGTAGAAAGCGAAGATAACACAATGTGGCTGCAGTAGAAGGCGTTGTGGATTTAGAAGGAATCCAGGCTATGAAGTGGAGGGTTTGGGCTCAGGTCTCAAAGCCGAAGGGTGGGTCTTAGGGAGAGAAAGCAGAGGTGTAGACAGGTGTAGATGCAGGGCTTAGCGGAGGAAGCAGAAGCCTGGTGTGCAGCTGCAGGGACAGGCAGCTTCAGGGCACTGCACTGGCAGGAGCTGGGGCCTTGGGGTTGCCCCAGGGCAGTGGGTGAGTGAGGGTCAGAAGGAACTCAGTAAGCATTTGCAGGCCCATCCAAATCTCAAGATGCACTAAAAAACTCAAAGGAGAAAATCAGTAGATTTGAGCAAATAAAATTGAACTTCATAGATTAACACACAAGTAAAAAATATAGCAAGCAGTCCGGGGATTTAGCTCAGTGGTGCAGCACCTGCCTCGCAAGTGGAAGGTCCTGAATTCGATACCCTGTACCAAAAAACCCCCGAAAAAACAAAAAACAGCAAGCACAGGAATATTGCTCTTTGTCGGCAAAAGCTCTTTCAACTTTATAGGAAAACCTTAACAGCCCAGATAAAATAGTTAATCAACAATCCATGGAGTAGATATAAATGACTAATCAACATCCATAAAGGTTAACTTTGCTACTCATTAAAAAGTGCAAAATAAAAAAAAAATGCAGGCTTTTTCTGTTGAATAAGCAAAGTTTGAAAATGACGAGATGACATGCAATGCCCGCTCCCATCGCTGCTGATCACCTTGCTAATCTTCCCTACCTTTCCTGGGCACGGTATCCACCGTGGGTCACCTGTCTTCCCCCCGGGAGTCCAGACCCACAAGAGAAGGGGCTGTGTGCCGTGTGTCCTCTGCTACGTCCTAGGACAGCGTCTGGGTGCAGTGGCCGCTCGGTAACCATTGTTGAGTTCAGTAATAAATTAATACAGAAAATGGAGTGGGAAGAAACCCGAGGATGCAGAGGCCGGACAGGGGATGGAGGGAGCCCATGGTTTGTCACATGCCAGGAAGGGACAGAAAGTGCTGCCGTGTGCCTCAATTTTTTTTCTGCACTTTCAAATTTTCTACAATGAATATATTATTTTAAGTAGTATGTAATAAGGAGGTGCTTTGCACATCGTTAGTGTGGCCACCTGATGGCCACTCTCAGTGGGCACAGTGCCCTTTGTGCAGTGCCCTTGTTAAGTTCTGGTAACCCACAGCATCGAGGAGCCCTGCCCTGCTGCTTGGGCACAGGGACGCCAGCCCTGCTCCTACCCCAGGCCGGCCCTGAGCTTCTGCCTACTGCAGTGTGGGTGACCTGTGTGCAGGGAGTGCTCATGTGTGGGAGTCCCAGCCCTCAGCTGGAAACGGAGTCCTTGGTTAAGGTGAAGTCATTAGCGTGGACCTAATCTCACGTGGCCAGTGACTTTAAAGAAGAGGACACTGTGACACAGATGTCCACACAGGGGACAGCATGGAAGATGGAGGCAGAGACAAGCAACTCTGTGCCTGTAGTGGACAACCAGGAGCAGAGGAGAGGCTGGGCAGAGCCTCCTGGGGAAATCCTGCCCTCAGCTTGGCCCTGGGCTTTGTGAGCCAATGAACTTCGGCAGCGACGTCCCTGGGGGACTTGGCCTCAGCACTGCACAGAATCCGTGTTTAGAGGGGTTCACCAGGCGATGCCTCTGCATATTAAAGAGGCAGGAGCACTGCTCCACGTCATACAATAACAGGGAGGAAAGGAGGAGAGAGGAAGGAGGGACTGGCCTTAGAGGCATAGAACAGATGAAGGCCTCGCTCAGAATGGCGATTTTTTTTTTTTTTTTTTTTTACAAAAATCAACTTTAGCTGTGGACTATAAACCTCGCTGTCAGGCTGGCTGAACTGTTTGTTAAAGATTGATTACATGTTTTACATTAACTTCGAGTCTAAAGCCCACTTTTGGAGGGGAAGTGGGGACGTAAGTTACGCAAATCATGTTCACCACGAGGACCGTCCAGGTAAAGAGACTTCTGAACGGAGTCCAGGGTGGAAAAACAAGTAGTAACTGAAATCCCAAGTGGAAGAGTTCCCCCCAAACACAAACCCTTTTATATGGAGAGATCAACGTATTTCAACAGCTCTCAAATGTCTTTTCTGTCTGAATCTTGTCACCATCTCTGCCAGTCCTGGGTCAGCAGCGGGCATGAGGGTGGCGTCCACTCCCACTCGTGTGAACAGCTACGGGTGCCACAGAGCATGCAGCGGAGCCCCCCCAACTCCAGGTCACCTGGAAGCCAGCAGCTCTGCTTGGTTCCTGCCTTGGCGCCTGCCACCCGTTCCACGCTCCTGCCCCGAGCAAGGATGGGACTTGGAGGGACACACCTGCTCACTCCACCAGGTCACGGCCACGTGCAGGCTGTAGTCGCAGCAGACTTTGGGGTCGGCCCAGCGGCGCCAGGTGTGGAAGGCCTCCAGCAGGGAGCCTCCCTTCGGAGGGATGGCGAAGTCGATGATCGTGGTGGTGCCTCCTGCCAGGGCAGCCTGGGTCACGAGAGGGTTTCACAGGTGAGCCAGCTTCTGGGTCAGCCACTGGTCACCTCGTCTGCAAGCGTCTGGGTCTACCCCAGGAAACTGTACAAGGCTGCTGTCTGTGCAAAAGACAGACAGAAGGAGCAGACTGTCTGTAGGGCCGAAATGTTAAAACCACTAGCGTAGCTCTGGCAGGAAGCATGAGGGGCCTGACCAAGGAAACAGTGAGGGCTGTAAAGGAAACCCCAGATGGAAACATGGAAAAGATTCAGGCATTTTTTTTCTTCTCAAGAAACCAGGTTCCCTATCAAATTCCCTTTTATCAGGGCGCTTCCTGGGGAGTCCCAATTCCAACTACCCAGTGAACCACCCAGAGGCCGGGACGGTCCGTGCATCAGCCCCAAATGACCGCAGGACTTCTTTGCTGGTCTTTGATTTGTACCCGTGCCCTCTGTCCATCCCAACCTGCCACAGTTGGATCCTCCAACTGTTTTATGAGCCCTGATCTGTCTTTGTCTCTCTAGCTCCACCACATCTGGCCTGACCCTGACACAAACCCGCACAGCACAGGAACATTTCCACATCGGGAGCTGGCCACTGACTCACAGGGTGAGTGAGGGTGGGTGGGGAAAGAGGCTGGCCAGAGGGGCAAAGTCACAGCTACAGCAAGGGAGATGCTCTGATGTTCTCTGTTGCTCAACAGGGTGACAGTCATGGAGCAAGCACGGGATGCACGACACATTCAGAGGAGCTAGAACAGATGCTTAATGCTGCCTCCACAAAGGAAAGTTAATGAGATGATGGGTATTTTAATTATCCTGGCTTGATCTTTACACATTGCATGCGTGGTACCCCATCAATGTGTAGGAATCTTGGATCGATAGACAAATCAAACAAGAATTGTAAAGACAACCTTTCTCCCTGTCTCTGGAGTCCCTGCCCCTTCCCGCATGCAAATCTCTACCCAGCTGCTGGCCTGGGAGGCGATGTTACAGCAGAGGCCCAGGACGCTGCCTCCCAGCCTGTCTGCCTCCTCTTTGTTGCTTTCTTCTAAGATTTTTGAATTTTCCCTTAAGTTAGTTGGCCCCACTCCAATTATTTTTGGTTGTGTAAACCTCGCTTTGTATATAAGAGTCTATACTTTGTATCTATCTAACATGCCGTATGCTGAACAGTGCATATTTGCATTTCCTAAGAAATCCCTCTTGGTATAAAAATCATACTGGAAAAAATTTTCCAGGTTCTATATTTTTATTTGAAAACCAATTAATCTTCTCACTTTCTTCTGTAGGTGTCTTTCAAATCCAACAAGGCATCTTTTCCAGTAGAACTCACTGCTAATTCAAGTGTTAGGAGGAAGGTACTTTTCAAGGGTTACCAAACTAGAAAACCAACCTTTAAAAACTTTTCTCTCTATTCTTTCCCTGTGAAAGCCTACCACTCCTGGGGTGTGGAGAAACCAGCTATACTGGTCCTCAGTCACCACGGGAAGGTGGTTCCAGGAGCCCCCGGGGGGAGGCCGGGTCCTTTTACCAAATGGCTCAGTACTTCTATGTTCCCATGTCTTCCTCCTCACCCGAAACCCCACAGGCTTACTTACGCTACTTCATATGGTGTCCGTTCTGTGGAAATAGGGATCATTCTGCATTGTTTAGGAAATAAGGACAAGTAAAGAGCCTGTACCAGTATAGCACCAGTGCAGATTTTTGAAATATTTGGACCCCATGACTGGTTAAAAACCCATGCGTACAGGGGACCAGCTGCTGAGAATGTGGCCTGCCAGTATGTTGGAGAGACCCCCCTGGTAGCTGAATGACCAGCAACCCAGCCCCCTGCATCCCCAAGAGAAGGGAGAGCTCGTCCACACTAAAACCCGCACACACATATGCAGGACAGCGTCAGCCAAACTGTAGACACATGCCCAACGTCCGTCGGTGGATGGACTCAGCTGGTGGATGGACAAACAAGACGTGGCCTCCTCACCCTGTGGGACAGCATTTTCACAGAAGGGAGTAGAGTGCTGGACCATATGAGAACGTGGTGCATCTTGACAACACGCTGCTAAGTAAAAGAAGCAACTGCAGGAGCTCCACGCTGTGTGGTCCAGGGGTGTGGAGTGTCCGTCCACAGGGGGCAGAGCCACACGGAAGGCAGAGAGAACGGGTCACCTGGGCTGGGGGGATGCAGGGGGATTGTGAAAAGGTACACTGTTTTGGGGGGGAGTGATAAAAACGTTAAAAAGTTTATTGTAGTGATGGTTGCACAACTCTGTGAAGATACTGAAACTCACTGAAATGTACAGCGTATGTGGTCGAATTCTATTGCATATTAATTATATCTTAATAAAACTGTCACTGAACACAAAGAATCCAAGACTGCCCTGGAGGCGCATCGTCTATTCAGGAAGAGAGCTGTGAGTCAGTAATTATAATACAACACCCAGATCATAGCAACATAGAAATTGTGAAAGGGAGGCTAAAAATTACGAAGCTCCCTAGCAGGGGTTCTGAGGAAAGATGACTGGGAACTCAGAGGAGGGATGGACTCAGAGCTCCTAGGAAGCTGCGGTTTACTTAGATTAGGAGCAGGACACACGTGGAGGTCGCCAACACGCATCACGGCCCCCGCCCCACAGAGTGCTCGTCTCGGGTCAGGAGCTACCTGGGACTGCGTCCCCTGGCCAGGTCTGCAGTGCTCGGAGGCACTGGGAGGGGAAGAAGCCGGGCAGAGTACCGGTCAGGAACCTGGCCAGTCCGACAGCAAGGGGACAAGGTAGGACAGGGCCCAGTGCCACCAGGCTCCAAGTCTGCCCTGCAGGGACTGTGAGGAGCAGGAAGGGAGGCTCTGAGGGGGACAGCAGGGCACGGCAAGGGCAGAATGGGGCTGCTGGGGAGCTGAAGGCAGAGGACAGCTGAGGCTGTGTGCGGGTGAGACCTGCCGGGTGACAAAGGAGACGCAGGGGGCCAGAGAGAGGGCACTGAGAGCCCGAGGAACGTCCGGGGTGTGCTGGCCTGGGCCCGTCACTCGGTGCTGAGGAGCCGCCCAGGGCAGCGGAAGTGGGGTGGCTCGGGGGCCCAGGGGTCCTGATGCCAGCTCGAAGGACTGGGAGGGCCGAGGCAAGGTGAGCTCGTGTGAGCACGCGACAGCCAGGACGCCCGCACCAAGGCTTCGGGCGCCAGTTTCCGGGAGGTGAGATGACAGCTCATTTTAATTTCCTTCCAGTTGAACTGTATTTCCAGTATCCGCTAAATTCTCCATAAAAGGCACTCATTCTATCAAATATACTCAGCACACAGATGATGTGAGGCACAGACGCGTGTGTGGGACACAGGGATGACGCTCTTCCTGAGACTGGAGGTGACGGCCAGAGGGCTGCGCTGGTCAAACTGGAGCAGAGGGACATTCCAGGGCGACAGCTGGAGAGCTCCTGAGCAAGGACGGATCCTGATCGGGACTGGACGCTGCCAGCTTCCTAACTACACAGGCAAGGAGGAGGACGGAGAGGCAGCGCGTGCCCTGTCCTGTCCTGTCCTGTCCTGTCCTGTCCTGCCCTGTCCTGCCCTGTCCTGCTTCTGCTCTTCCCTTCCTGCTCCCCTCGCCTGCCCTCTCCCCTCGGGGAGTGAGTTCTACACACCCAGTTTACCTGATGCTGGTGCTGCTCCTCTTTGCTGAGGTCCCTTTGTTTTCCCTGGGATTGGCTTTCTCTCCACTTTTGTTATTTACTCAAGCGAAATGCATTTCCCCTTTCTAATCTTGACACCTAAATTGGTTCTGCCAGCTCCTGACTACCTGGGCTGTCCTCCTGTGGAGACTTTCCAGCCTGTCCCACCCTCTTTCAGGGCCCAGGAGTCCACACTGTGCCCAGCAACTTGACACCAGGTGCGCTGAGGCGACAGTGGGTCTCACGTCACAGAACAGAACAGCCTGTAATTCGTTACCGAAAATACCCCCAAGCATTTCCCTCAGTCTTCCCTTCTAAACTCATCCTGAAACAACGGACTTTGCTTCGCTAAGATCCATCACAGCATCTGTTCCACCCAGGTAAAACCATAAGAGTTCAGTCTGAGTGAGAACAGCTCCTGGCTGGATTTCTAGCATTCTCATAGCCATGAAGGTTTATGAAAACAGACTTGGTAATCTCGATTTATATCCCAAATCCAGAAGCACATTGAGCTTTGTTGACGCCCCGGACACTGCTTGTCCACTTGACCTCTTGCCTCACCAGGTTTGAGACACTAAGGAAGCGATTGATTATCCATCCAAAGCAGCTCTTAAGGGCCCCCTGCCACCTCCTCTCTTGCTCTTGGGACCCTCAAATCCAATCCACCAACAGTGCCCACCCATGTCACCTGCCACCTCCAATGAGTACACTTTCTGCGACTTCTCCTGCCTAGACCAGCACCCGGGGAGGAAGAACTCCCAGGTTAGGTGAATTGGTTTCTGCTCTGCCTGCCCTTAACCCAACACAGAGTCTGGCATAGGAACAGTCTCCAAATGATTAAGGGATAGAAGAAGGCAGGGCCAATTTTCCCCAACTGTTATGAGATGAATAAGGATGGTTCATTTTTCCCATCAAAACCCGAGAAAACTGTACGTCACACGTCAGTGTGTGGTGTCATTTCCCCAAAGATACGCTGGTGCTGGCCGTGTAGTCTCCGAGGTCCTTCTGAGACAACACTGATGTGAGATGTAAACTGAACACATCTGAAGGCTCTCTGGTCAGTTCTGCCCAAAGCCCACCGCCTGATCAGTGCCCACTAGGACTCTGTAAGAAATTCCAGTCTATTTCCACATCTATATTTCAAAGAATGTCTTAATTTAGAAAGAAAGATTGCATTTTAATTCTTAAAGTCCTTGCTGTTATGTGCAAAGAACACACTGTGAGGACTCAGCAGCTCAAGACTTCCCCTAACATGGTTTCCCTCTCGATGGAGTGACTATGACTAAAACCTGAAATGTTCCCCCCGGTCTGTTCCCAGGCATGAGACAGGCGAACTCGAAGAGGTGCTGAG